CAATGTTTGCTTTCTATTCAGCCGGACTGTGATAGTGAAATATCAATACTTGGATCAAGGGGTAAGGAAGACGCTTTGGGTTTCTAGAAAGGAGCTCCTGACTGTGTGTGCTCCTGGTATTTCAGGGGTTGTCACTCTCCCTCTGAACTCTGTGTCCTGTATCCATTTCAACAGGAGAAGACGCAGCACTGCTTTGTCGAAACACCTCACGGACCATTTAGCTCTATTCTGCGGCACTGTTATCTGTGTTAGCATTAGGGAATGTCTCTCCTGACTTATAGGAACCAGCAATAAACCTGAGCTGCATAGCCTGGAGCTGAATTCCCCATGTCTGTGAGATGACGATGTTCACATCTAGCCAACATTGTAACTTTGTTTAGTCTAGGATTGCTGATAGTGCTGTGCAGTAGTGGAGGTCTCTGAGGGTAATGTTGTCTAGGCCTATGTATTTGCCAGTTTTGCTGCACTGTGACCTGTTTTTCTACTGTTCCTGGAGCCTTCATTTAAAAGAGACTAATGATTATAGGGGCAGAACATGACTGCAGGTGAGACTTGCAAGAACTTACACTGGCTTTCTAGCTCAGTGAGGACCCATGCACGGATTACAGAGAGAAACGTGCCCACATAAGGCACTGAAACTAGAATTAAGAAAATGCAGGAGCGTGATGGTGCAGGGCTTTGCACAGCCTTGAGGGTCTCTCTTTGTGTGGCCTTGGGCAAGTTACCCTGAGATGGACATAGCAATGCCTTTGAGCTACGTGTTCGTGTCCAGCTTGGATGAAGCAGTTAAGCAGGTTCTCAAATGCTCCATCAGCCACGAACCTGTAATTCTCTGTGCCTTGGCTGCCCGTGCACACAGGGGAGGTCGGATCTTGATTTAACCCTCCTTTATTCCTGTTTACATTGTAAAGCTTCTCAGAGCTTGCCCTGTTTGTACAGCCCTGGCCCAGCGGGACCTCTTCTGAGCTGTGTAACTGCCTTATAAACACTAACAGAAACTAAAGAAACGCTTCCTTCTCTGTTTCAGGGACCTCTAGAGATGCTGACAGAGGTGATTGATAAAACCGTGTTCTTTCACCACAGCCTCCTTCTCCCCCTCTTCAGATGGGTCTCTGCTGTGGGTGCCCTTAGCGGGGCAGTCCCTGAGAGGACTCTGCACACTTGCCCTGCTCCCTTGCCCCTGCTCCATGCAGGCATGCCCGGCCCGTCACTCGATCTGGAAGCCCCCAGGAGTCCAGGGGTGTCAGGGGAGCTGCGCTTAGCTGGGCCAACAAGGCCAAGATCCCAGGTCTGCAGGAGGGACGCGTCGGGTTATGCATCGCAGTGGCTGGCATGGGATGCTCCCTGGAGCGCCGCCAGGACCTCACTTGCTCGTCTCTTAACTGTCTTTGTCAGTAAAAGAGAGTTTAAAAGATTTAACTAATTGGCTAAGTGTAGCCTCTCCTGTCAGGGTGAATTAGGGGAAGGCTTTATTCTGGGTTTTGGCCCAGGAGGCTGGGGAAGATGAAGCTTTTGCAACATGCATTTGTGAACACAGGGTTGCTTTCTCCTTCTTTAGGTCAGCTGCTGATGAGATGTGCTGTGATGGGATTAGCCAGGGGACCGCTGTGAAGTGGGGTTGCCCTGGCAGATCCTGCGATGCTGGTGACAGGGCTCTGCTGGAAGAAACAAGGATACTCTAAACGCTGCCCAGCCAGCCCTGACAGGCCAAGCCGCAGGGAGTCGCAGCCTTCGCCGCTTTTGCTGCCTCCACCCAGTCCCAAGAGACCTAGCACTGTTTCCTAGGCTGGCAAAGGGGCTGGACAGGGGAGACAGGGTGCATGACGGGTCTGGAGGGGCTGTGCCTTGCCTTTCCACACCTGGGCTCCGATGTGCCCCTCTAATGAGCCCTCATGCTACAGAAGAGTTGTGGTTCCTCATGTTACAAGGCTGTGTTCAGCCTGACCCTGTTGTCACACATTGTAGTTGCTGTTGTGAAATAGTTGTGATGTCCACTCTAGTCCAGGAAGAGAGTCCAGGGACTGCCCAGCCAGAGTGGCTCTTTGAACTGACCCATTCTTTTTCAGGGTTTGCTTCTACGCAGTAACTACCCCCATGGGGAGCCTGCCGCCTGCCTTTCTTACACAGATGTGCTAGAAAGGTCTCCTGGTGTGCCGTGGTGGAAGGCATTCCCAGCGCTGGTGAATTTGCACACGCACGTGCCCCTTCACTTCACCAGCACTATCCATCCTGGGACGGAGACCTCTACCTGGGTCATCACAGCCATTTTCATGTCCTGCTTCCCTTCGATCCCTGCTCTCTCCTCCTGCAACACAAGGGCCAAGCTATTGAATCCTTCCCTTCTGCACCAGTTCGTGACAAGCAGGTCACTCCATCATCTCGGACAGTAAAGACGTAATTGCACAAATATCTGAACAGCTGAGGGAGGGAACAGTTTGTTTTCCTTGGCCATAGCAGGGATGACAAGAAGTTGCAGGATTCAGTCACATCCAGGGAGATTTCTGAAGAGGTGTTATGAAAAGCTTCAGGCAACACAAGATGCCACAAGTTGCCTGGGAGGAGGTGGACTGTCCTTTGCTGTTTGTTTTCAGAGCAGGTTGGCCATGCATCTGTCAGCAAAGATGTAGGTAGCTCTGATCCTACCTCAGGGCTGAGCAGGGGGCCAGCTGAGCCCAATTCCAGCCATGGCTTTCAGTGGCGGCGTGCCTTCCTGCTGTGCCGGTGCCATGCACGTGCTGACACTCCGCTTCTCCTTGGGCAGCCCGATGCCCAGCTCGGGCGGGTCTCTGTAGTGCTTTTGCTTGGTTGCTGGGTCTCCGAGATGCCACAGACAGGTCCTGAAACTCCTCCGAGTGCTGTTCTCCCACTACTCTCATTTACAGAGCTGTCTGGGTTGAAGCCGTCAGCAGTCCAGTTTTTAAATGACCTGCTGTTTTGCATCGTTGTTCTTTGAGGTTTATAGGGGTGTTGATTAACAAAACCTTACTGGTCTTTACTGCTCTCTGGTTTAGTGGCCAGCATGAGCTGGGGCATTTAGGATTTCAGGCTGGTGAGAGCAGCCATTATGTTAGTGTAGCAAAGCGTCGATCTGTGTAACACCCCATTTGGTTGTGCTGTTCCTGTCTGGTGCACAGTCCCTTTCTGTCCATCTGTCTTGGAGACCAGGCTGAACATTCTTCAGCACTGTGTCTTATTGGCATGCAATACAGGCTATTTCATCTCTGGTATGCTCAGTGGCACAGGGTTTTGCCAAGCGCAGTAGAAGTTTTTGCATTATGTTATATTGACAGTGTTCGTCTACTGTAATAATTTGGCTGTTTTTCCTGTACATTTTCTGCTGTTACACTGCCTTTCTTTGTGAGTCTCCCTCTTTGCCTGTCGTAGTGGAGCTGCTTTTCTAATGCACTGGCTCCCTAACCCTGTTATTACTTTTGGCACTCAGTGTGCATCCCGATTAAGCACATTGGCTCCTGTTTTCTCTATTTCCACATTGGCCTGCTCTCTGAATTCCTCTTACCATTACATTCTAGCACTGCTCTGGATTATTATTTGTTATTTATATTGCAGTAGCGCCTAAGAGTCCCAACTGAGATCGTGGCCTGATTATGGACATGATGTGCGTTAATACAGCCTCCTAATATGCCCTTTTTCTACTGATTCGTTTCTCCTAACTGTGGCTCTGTTTGTTGTCTGTCAGTGTCACAGATCGGTTCCTGGGGTTCAAACACCGCAGAGGAGTCTGTGTTCAGCACCTTTGAGACTAGTTTGAAAGCTAAGACACACAGTTACCCACTCTTCAAGACCAGGCTCTCCTCGCCTGTCACCCTCTGGAAGAACAAGCATGTCCTTTCCTTGAGGATCCCTGAGCTGTGCCATGAGGTGCTCAGTTTTAGCTGTTCAGGGCCGGAGTCACTCGCTGCCTGGAGTCCTGGTGACTCAGCTAGCAGAATTGTGCCGTGCCGGTCCTGTCCACCTCGTGAGGCTCTCGTGCCTGTCAGACGCATGCAGGCACCCAGGTGCAGATGCCTGGCACATGACCATGCTTGCCAATGTGGCATGGCCGGTTGCACTCCTCTCCGGCATGCATATGCATGAGCACCTGGTCTGATTCATAGCAGCAGCCAGCTCCTTAAATAGCAGGTAACTGTAACTGAAGGCCTGCCAGGAAATCTCTGCAGCTCTCTGGGAGCAGCTTGGGGCCCCGGACGGTGGTTAACGTGCTGTATGGCGGAGAGGCTGTGTGCCTTTCTGTGTAGCTTGTACTTTTTTCATCTTGATCGTGACCATGAGACAGCATGGTATGTCAAGAGTTAAGGGTAGGGGTAGCTGGAAAAGCTGTGTCTATACGAATTAAGTTGGATACCACTAGGGCTTAAACTGTGAGTCTATGCATTGCAAAACTGTTGCCATTTAAGATCTGAAAACAAGGCTGTTCCTGGCCTACCTTTCTCCTCTGGCTTTGGTTTAGGGCTGGTGGTTGCTTAAACAGGAATAAAAAGGTACTTAGGTGCTGCATGCTGGTAAACGTTAAGAATTGAAACAGTACAAAACACAGTAATACTCCATTGAGCATAGAAGGCTTAACCTAGGTGAAGAACAGAGGCATCCGACTTCAACTTCTTGGAGCCACAGCCACCTTCCCCTGCTTGCAGAACCCTAATGTCCCGGGGGGCAGGAGTACAAGGCCAGCCAAGGTGGTTGAGGCTGGAGCCGTCACCAAGCAGGGCTCCCATCACCCATCTCCTTGTGCGAACCACACTCTTCACTGGATGAGAGGAGCATGATGGGTCACCAGGGCAGGAGGTTTGGGAGCCAGGCAGAGAGCTAATGCCCGCTGGGGAGGTGGAAAGTGTCAGGCTGCAGCAGGGAAGCTAGTATCCCTCCCTGCAACCAAACCCAGGCTGCACTGCACAAGAGATGCCCCTGCTGCTTGCACTGGTAAGGGACTCTTCCCTCTCCTCCCCCTTTCTTATTTTTGCCTCTCTTTTGCCTTTTCCCAGGGTGCCAGAGGGCCTGATGGACCAGTAGGCGAGCCAGGGTCACGAGGTGTCAAGGTGAGTGCCAGCAGATGGCCAGGCTGGCTGACACTGCTCATAGCTCTGTTGTAAAACACCCTGGACAGGATCATGGTCACGTCCTTCTTGAGGAGCAGGGGATGCTCAACAGCTCCACAAGAACTAGGCACCAGCAGCAAGTCCATTGTGCAGCGGGAGCAGAACTTGTCCACACAGGCATCAGGACCTTTGCTGCTGAGATCTAGACCCCCGAACATAGAGGCACTCCACAAATGTCAGTGAGCTTCTGCTCAAGTAATAGGGTCCACCACAGGAAAGGGAGTAGCTTAGCTGGCATCAAGTGCCCTAACTGTTATCTCTGAATCTAGCACAGAAATGATACCAATTTAACACATCCGGTAAAACATTACCCTACCAAATGCATCTCTGTGCTGATGTACTTCATGTCAGTTAGATTAGGATGGGAAAAAAAAACACCTGACAGGAGTTGTCTGATTTGGAAAAGGCCTGGCAGATAGATCTGAACAGATGTCTGCTCCATGGCAGGCTCTGGGATGGGTAGGTGGAGGAATTGGACCCTTGTCCTACCACTGAACGTTGCCAGGCTCCATGTCTCCTCCCTGCACACATATCCCTATGAATGCAATTTGAATGGGGAATCTGCCTTTTTTGTGCCCTGTCAGGCAAGGCTGTGCTGAGTCTCTTGAGATTCCCAGCTTCCTCCAAAGTAGCGTTTACTGAAAAACCCTTAGGTCTTAAAGCCCATCCCCCAGACTCCCCACTGATTGGGGTGTTCTTCAGGGCAGGATGCTGGGCATTTGGCCCCTCGAAAGCTGCAGGGAATCGGAGGAGACTTTTAACACAAAGACTACGTACTTCTCAAGTGCAAGTGCAGGGAGGCTGGGGCAGAAGAGCACCGTCTCCATCAGTACAGTTCATGCTCCTGCCAATGTGTCTTTGTCCTTTTTGCTTCCAGGGCCGTCCAGGGGAGCCAGGCAAACTGGGGCCGGATGGGCTGCAGGTATGTCCCATGTGAGAGCTGGTGCCTGCCAAAGCTGGCATGGTGTCACACCCCTCTGTGGGTACCCACACGCACATGGGGCCCAGGAAATTGCAGCTTCTCACAGCCACAGTGACACAGGTGTCTCAGCACATTCCCAGGTGCTAATCACTGTAACTGTGTGTTTACAGGGGAAGATAGGAGAGACTGGGGAGACAGGATCACGTGGCTTCCCAGTAAGTGTTCATCACTTCAGCTTCCTTTTGTAACCTTGGCTTCAAGGTTAAGTTTTGGGTCCTGGTCCAGCAGGAGAGGCTTGGACATAGTCTCACAGTTCAAGCTATGGGGCCACCCCTCTCCTCCACTTACTGGAGTATTTGCAATGCATGTTACATGCTGAGAGGCATGAAAGATTACTACAGGGTTGGAGGTGACCTTGGTGTGTTTAATTTTTTCCAGGGTATCCAAGGACCTTCCGGACCCCCAGGAGCGAAAGGGGCTCCAGGCGACCCGGCAAGTGTCCTGTCACTCTGTTCATCTGTCCCCCCCACCCCACACACAGGCAGACACTTCATTTTTATCCCTGTCTAGCTCTCCCCCTCTATCCATTCCCATTCCCAGCATCTCTGTCCCTGCCAGTTCCAGCATGGTCAGAGATGTGAAAGACTTGGCTAGAGTCCTAGCAGACATGAGGAAAGAAAAGGGCAGACTCCTGGAAAGCAAAACGAGGCCATGGATCAAGCAGGGAGAGGGTAGGATGCAGCCTGGGCTGTACTTCTGAAGGGAAGAAAGGAAAGAAGGGCAAGGTTAGGTCTGGGAGAGGGTTAGGTGTAACAGGAGGAGTTGGGCTGGGCTGGCAGGGAGAGCTGAAGAGGGAGCAGGACAGAGGCTGATGGAGTCAGAACTGAGCCAGCAGGTCTGGGGAAAGCTCTAGGAGATGAAGGCACAGACCTGAAGGAGGGTCAGTAAGACCATCTGAGCGGAAAAAGTGGCCATCTCCTGCTCTCTGTGTCTGTGGGGACTGACCTGGACTGTGAGGGGAGAGGATAGATCAGATATTATTTTTAAGTTACAAGCTGCAATTGTTTCAGGTAGGAGCTAGCAAGATCGAGGGCCTTCTGAGCTGTTGTTTGCCTCTTAAGGTGCATCCTCGTCTCTGTATCTCACTGACTGTCCTTTGCATGCTGTGTGGGTCTGCTGTGACGTGGGAGGGAAGCGGTATTTCATCTTACAGGCCATGGAAGTGATAGCCTTTCAGAAACGAAAACAGTTGTATGAAAAGAGTCTTGTGTCTCTGTTTTTCAGGGACCGCAAGGACCACAGGGGCCGCCAGGACCTTTGGGAGAAATCGGGCATAAGGTAGGTCTGATCTTTGCTCCCATTTCTTCTCCGCTCTCACCATGAGCGGCAGGACAGGAGGGATGAGTAAGCGTGCAGAGGCACATCCTTCCGCACCCCAGGGGCACGAGCAGGAAGGATTTCCCATGGGTAAACCTCCAAAGCAAACAGCGAAAATTAGAAATTTGAGCCTTGTTTTCATCAAAGGCAGACCATAGAAACCCAGCTGGCAAATGGGCAGACCCATCTCCGTAACAAGAGAAACATTTCGAAGCTGCCTACACTCTAACAAGCACGTCACAGGCCCCCCGATGTGCCAGAGACCACATTTCCATACCACTATACAGAGTCAGGTCACAAATGCAGCAGCAGTTCAGACTGCAAACTGGTCTTTTCTCTCCCACTCCTAGCTGGTCCCGTTCTGATCAGATACAGTTTTGTCAGCCAGCTCGGATTGCTGTGGCCAGTGGAAGTCCATCACAGGTTGCTGTGGCCAGTGGAGGAGGCTCAGAGAAACACTTTTGCTGCTGGCTCGTGCGTTTTGAATTGTCGTTGCCATGAAGCAAAGGCACAAACACACCATAACCAACGGCAGGAGTGGCATTCAAATGGTGCCCCAGTGGACTGCAGGAGATGCCTCCATGGGTTCTCCCTGACTCTTCTGCAGTCTCAGGTTGATTCAGGACTCTTATGGTCCTGATCAAATCTACCAGTTCTCATGCAGCTCCTTTCCCTAGGTCCTTACCTGTTACATAGTCGTGATGTTTCACTTGGTTGTGAAAACAGCGACGAAGGTGCCTTTTAATATAGTTTGCTTCAAAGTGTATGAGTCACGAAAGTTTCCATTCTCATGGCTGCTAGACTGGATGGGGCAAGCTCTCAGCGTGGTAAACCACACTGGGGAGCTGGAAGGCTGTTACTGAGCCTCTTTGGATGTTGCCAACCAAGAAAGCACAGAGCTTTATTCAAGTCTGTCCCTCCTCCAGGAGCCTTTCTCTGCACTGGCACCACTGGAGAAACCAAAGCAAGATCCTTTGCTTTCACTGGAGTGTGAATTTTCTCATTGCCTGACTTGACCACTTGCTGGTAAACCCAGCACGCACCCTGCTCCCTCCTCAGCCTGAATGCATTTCAGCAAGCTAGGAACTGGCTTTATTCCGTGGGCAGCTGGGTGCTCCCATGACAACGTGCTCTATTTCCTTTTTTCTTAGTTGCAGAAAGTTGCAAATAAGCCACTCAAATCCTGTCAAGACAAACTTTGCTGTCCCATCTTTGATCTTGTTTTACAGACTCTCATTCCCCATCCTTTCCTGGAGGTGGTAGAAGATGTACAAAGATTAAAGCTCAATTTATTGTGGTACACCCAAAGGTGTTTACCAAAAGTGACCCTGCTATTGCAAGCCTGGCAGCAGCAGGGCACCTACTAAGAATGGTCTGCAAGGTCATTCGTTCATCTTCCCTCTTCCCACCTTATTTCCCATAATTTTCCAGGTCAGGCACCCGTTTGTGGCTGTCTGGGGGACACTGGGTCCCCTAGATGTGTTAGGGTATATGCTCAGTTAGACAGGACCGCGTTATCTTGTCAGCTAGCCACTTTCATTCAGCTAAGTACAGCCTGGTGACCAGCTTGGGTGGCGGGTTTCTGATCCCAGCCCAGTTCTTGGTGCTAGGATGTTTGCTGGCCTCTTAGGAAACAATCAGAGGAGAGCAAGAGCACAGCTGAACAGTTTTGTTACCCAATGTAATCATATCCCTCTTCCCGTCTTTCCTAACTAGTGCCAGCGCTGCTCCCCAGCCTGGTTACCAGCCTTAGAAAGCAGAGGGCCTGGGAGGAGTTAGAGAGAGCTGGCTTGGCAGAGGAGGCCAGGAGGTTGCAGCAGGCTTGGGGAAAGGGGAGGCGTGAGAGATGAGCGCAGTCCTCGCAGGAACAGGACACCAGGGGTCCGTGACCTCTTCGATGCTGCGTACCCTGAGCCAGCTCCAGGGAGGTAATTACATTGCAGCCAGGGCTCTGCTCTCCCAGGAGTGCTCTGCTAAAGGAATTATGTCTTTGATCTTACTTTCTACTTGGTTACAATGGGGTTTTTCACTATCTCTTTTTTTTTTTTTTTCTTCAGGGACCGCCTGGCTCAATGGGACAACCTGGCCTTGCAGGTGAACCTGGCATGAAGGTAAGAAAAACCTGTAGTGCAATTGCTCTGTCAGAGCAGGGAGAAATAATAGCCACTTCTGTTCCTGCCAGGAGAGGGTAACCTTGCGGGTTCACCCTCCAGCAGCCAGAGCAGACAGTGTAATCAACAAAGATCAAGTTTAAATAAAAAAAAAAAAGCAGGTTAACTTTAAGCCCTTGGTTATAAATTCCTGACCCCCATCTCCGAGCCCGAGGGGGATGTTGTCGGTGTGGGGAGTAGCACCGTTCCAGGGCTCTCCTGCCTCCAGAGCTGGAGAAGGGCTTTGACAATGAAGCTCGATTCTTTCCCAGATGTGAAATCTGAGCAGTGAAGGGAGTCCTTGAGACCCAGAGATCTGGCAGCTTCTAGTTTGAAATAAGAAGGGTCTTGGGAAGGTCCCAAGTGTAAAAATACCCTCAGACAAGGTCCTGCCGCAGTTTCCAAGCCTCAACTACCTGAGGTCTGAACTCCCCTGATGGTTATTGGGGGGAAGGTGCTCTGCTCCGGAGTCATGAATGCACCTTCTTGTCCACATGGAAAGGCCTGTAAAAAAAACATCTCTTTGTTTGAATAAGATCCCTGTGCTGAGCAGCTCAGAGGGGTTTTTTCATTTTATTTTGTGCCCCTCTCTGCTTCGTTTGAAGGATCGCTCCTGTGTGGAGAGCCTTTGAACAGACTGTATTTGGGGATTAAATGCAATTTCCTCTTTGCTGTTCTTCGCTCCCCACCCCCACCCCAGTCCTTGGCCGTGTTTACCTTGGCAAATCTTCTGACACTTCACTGGAGCTACTGTGTCTCTGGCATCCTGATACTGTGTTAGTGTTTCGGCTCCCGTGCTCCTGGCTGCCCCTCGGCGCCTTCGCTGCCTTACCCGGGAACAGCACGCCATGGATTTGCGCCGGGCATCCTCGGGCCCTCAGCGAGAGCTCTCCTCCGGCTCCCGTGGGAGCAGGAGGGATCGGTGCAGCGTCCGCTGCTGAGCCTCATGGAGCAGGACCGCTGTCCGCAGCCAAGTGCAGCTCTGATGGAGCACCGGGGAGGCGTTGCAGAGCCTCCAGAGTTTGGTGTGAAATGCAGAGGGCAGAAAGGAAGGAGAGAGCAGTTTCTGGCAGTGCAGAAGTCCCTTTACCCGCTGTCAGTGCAACATGTCCTTGCTGGGGAGTCAGAGAATGAGACTCTCTTGCTGGCTCCTGCTCCTAAACTGGGAGGTGCTGGGACATGCTGGGGTTGTTCTGAGCAATCATCACTTGCAGGCATGTTTGCTGCAGGGTGAGATGTGTGGATAGGTCAGACTTTCTCCTCCTTCTGCCTCTGTTGCTGCGTTTTTTGTGCTCTGCTAAAAAGCAGTTAGTTTGGAGAGGCACGCCCAGAGGGTAACTGCCCCCTGCCCCTTGCACCCCCAGCAGTAAATCACAGCCTTGCAGCCTTTCACGAAGGGGCATTTGTCTGCCAGCTCCAGATGTCTTCAGCTCACTCGTTTCTGTGCTGTGCAGGATTCAGGTTCTTCTCTGCCTGCCTCCGTCAGGCTGGGCCTCAAAGAGCTGTTGGCTCTCTTCTTCCTGGCTCTGGTCGTGTACGTGTTGCAGTGCTGCGTTGCACCCTGGCATTGCTGCCTTTCCTGCTAAAGGGCGATGCTGAGAGAACGTCCTTTGGCTCATCAACTGCAGGCATCAGCCACCACTCCTTGATCCTCTGTCCTGTTGGGTATCATTGCAATAGAGCCTCTGAGGTGCACGCTGGCCGACAGAGACTGCTCCGTAAGCAGAAGGGCTGGTGATGCCGACTTGTCCCTTGGGTCCCCTTGCAGACTGAAGTGAAGGTGTTTGAGAAAAGAAAAGGGAAAGTCAAAAGGAGGGGGTGAAATGGGAAGTGCTCTGTACTCACTAGCCATCAGCAAACAGTTTGTCTGCATGTCTGTGGTTCGTTCTTTTTAGGGTGATCCTGGACAGTTGGGAGTCCCTGGAGAGCAAGGCCTCATAGGTCAAAGAGTGAGTACAGTCCCCTTCTGGTTGCACTCTCTGCTAGATTGCTTCCTCCAGATGCTGTGTTCCCCGTTCACCCACAAACTGGGCAAAGAAGCCCTGTTCTGGGAGTCCTGTAACCCTTCTGTCCCTTGTTTCTTCTCTGTCATGGTGGAAATACCTTCCTGGCAGAGTCTGTGAGTTTGAGCTCACCAAAGTACACGAGCCTTTCTGATGCTACAGAGCTGGTGGCTATCAGCCCCAGTCAGTCATCTGGATGTGCAGCTGGAAATTAAAGGTCACAGGGACCTCTGAAAATAGTTCAAGGGAAGATCTCGATATCCTGGCCATTTTCTCTCAATAGAAACAGTTGTGCGGGAGCTACCAATGAGAAAGGAAGGCTCCTCGCTGCCCAGCCTGCCTGCACCAGCTGCTTGGCAAAGTGCTTTGACGGCTTGGAGTATGAAAGGGGCAGTGTGGAAACAGGCCCGTTCTGTTTGCACGCTGTGCGCGACCTGGGAGCGTGCAGCCTTCCAGGGGCAGGAGAACGCTCAGGCAGAGGGCTGGCATCAACCCGGGGAACACTGGCTGCACTGTGCATGCGTGGGAGGGAGCCAAGCAGGGGATGAATGCATGGATTGACGCCAGCAATGGCTCTTGTCCCTTCTCAGGACTAAAGTCAGTTGTCAGAGCAGGATGGGGAAGCCC